CGACTACCTAGAGTAGCATTGAATTGCTTTGGTTTGAGGAACGGAGCGAGGCGCAGGCGCAGGCACAGACTCCTATGTTACATACCACAATCATACTCATACCCCCCTAGGTCTCGTCCTTCCCTTCCCTTCCCTTCCCTTCCCTTCCGGGTGAGGTGTGAGGTGGGCAGTTACCCCGCCCAGTCTGACGACAGCTCAGTAAGGTACAGTAGATGCATGCAAATGAGTGAGTGCAGCCTTGGATGACTGAGGATTTGCATGCCCCAATGCAAACATCGGACATGGACGACGCCGAATGGCAAGTGCGTTTGTGAATGTAATAAGTAACAACCACTTCCCCTCCATCTCGTCCTTTCCCTCTCCTCCCTCCTCACCACACAACAGCAATCAATCCAATCTCACTTACAATCTTCTGCTTTCAACGCAAAAGGTTCGTACCTCCTCTCCACTATCATATACACCATCATTCCTCCCTCCAATACCTCGTTTCTGCAACATCATCACTAACTTTACTCTCCTTGTTTCAGCAGAATCAACTATCAAATCAGATCTTCTCGATCAACCACATAACAACAATTCAACATGACAGAACCTCTCTCCAAGGTCGATTCAGCCGTCCAGGGCCTCTCAAGCTCACCTCCCGCCAAGGACGAAAAGAAGACGCGGCGACAAAGCTCAGCAGCAGCACCTGGCGTTTACAACGTCAATGACCTTGGTAAGTTTAGACATCACTACCCTTTCATCTTCCGACATCGGACAGGCCACGAGGGCACCGTCAAGAACTCTCTCTAACTCTTTTCTTCAGAGGCCGAGGGCATTGATCTCGAGCTCGCACCCGAGACTCAGAAGACTGGATGGTGAGTTTAACCCCGCATTTCGACTTACACATGCACCAAGAAACAGCCACTGACCCATTCGTATAGGAAGATCAACACCAGCCCCAATACAGTAGAAGACCCTGCCATCCTCAAGCTTCATCTGTCAAAACCCCCCGTCAAGAGAATCGACCTTCACTTCCCACTAGGAAAGGAGGTAACAGCACGAAACCTCAAGGGTGTAACAATCAAGGATGCACTAGACGCTATCCACAAGGCATATAAGAAGCGGGTATGTTTGGACGTCCGAGACACCCTCCCTAAGAATACTTGCTGATTGACATACCCAGGCCGACGATGAGCTCGACAAGCCCTACCTCGCTGGTTTCGAGTGGGACAAGGAAGAGTCATGGACCCGACTTGTTGTTCACCTTCAGGCTCAGCCCACAAGCACAACATTGGGCGGCTCTTCCGGTGGTGGCAAGAAGAAGAAGAACAAGAAGCAAGACGAGTAATAACTTTATGCCACCCCGGTATCTGTCCCAATAGTTCCTATAATTCTTGTTCGTTTCGCTGGTTTCGTTGCGAGTCGGCGCTCGGGATATTGCGTCTAGATATTCTCGGCCTGGTCATGCTGTTTGCGACTGCTGGAAGCGTCGCTTGGTGTACACCTCTATAGTTCTTGTTATCGCTGGTCGATTCGGTCGGCGTTTGAGGTTCCATGTATCGTGGTACCTTGATATAATTTACAAATTCCCCACACAATTGGAAGATTCATGACGATGTAAAGTTAATTGTCCATTGACGTTGAATTTGAGAAGACATGATGAGCCTATTGCCCACATGTTCCCCGGCTTAAGCTCCTCACTCATGAGGCCCACACCACATGAGTTACCCCGCGGCGATGGCTTCGGTTACCTATAATCGGAAACCCTGGAGCTAGTTTCCGGTCGGAAATACCTATCCAAGGCTCGGCTACTACACCTTGGTTGATATAACTAATCAGCTTCCATATCCTTCAGAAACTCATTCCGGTCATATGCGATGAAATCAGCTGTTCACGGGTTTATTCCCCTCTGTCATGTAACATTCATCAGCGGAACACAGGCGCAATGCTTCCCCGGCTAACGTCGGGCCGTTTCCCATACTCAGTGCGGAATTGACAGTTGACGGCTTACACGGCTACAGAACGTCATCCGTTGATCGAGACAGGAAGTTCGCAAAGCCGTGGGAGCACAGTTATAAGCTTCTTGTTCGCACATTTACTGAGGGGAAACGACACTCCAACTCAAACAGACAAAAGATACCAAGATGCCTGTCACAACCTTTGATCTCAAGGAGAAGTATAGATATCAGAATGGCTTCAACTGCTATTTAGAGTGAGTATCATTCCTGTTCCGCGCGGGTTACGAATGTTTTCTGATGATTTGCTAGATCTGAGGCTGTTGATGGTGCTTTGCCCATCGGACACAATTCTCCCCAGAAGCCACCATACGGTCTCTACGCCGAGAAACTCTCTGGAACTGCCTTTACCGCACCACGGCACGAGAATAAGCAGACATGGCTATACCGCGTTCTACCGTCCTGCGCGCATCCTCCTTACCAAGAGGACACAAAGTCAACAGGCGACACTAATAAGACTCTCGACGGCGCTGAGGATGGGAAATTACACTACATTCCCAACCAGCTCCGTTGGGATCCCTTTGATCACAATGAATCCAAGGATCTGGACTTTGTCACTGGCCTGAGGCTCGTTGCTGGTGCTGGAGATCCTACGCTCAAGGAGGGACTGGGCATGTATATCTATGCCGCTGGAAAGAGCATGGATGAGAAATCCGCATTCTACTCTGCCGACGGTGATCTTCTCATCGTCGCACAAGAGGGCGCTCTTGATATCCGCACCGAGTTTGGTTGGCTTCTTGTTCGACCTATGGAAATTGCTGTCATCCCCCGGGGCGTCAAGTATCAAGTCTATCTTCCCTCTGGCCCAGCCCGTGGTTATGCTCTTGAGCTTTATCAAGGCCACTTCAACCTCCCTGAGCTTGGCCCAATTGGTTCAAACGGCCTTGCCAACGCTCGTGACTTCCAGTCTCCTGTTGCTTGCTTCTCTGAAGACTTTGGAGCCACTGCATCCGAGGGGTCTAACAAGTATACTGTTTCCGTCAAGTTCAACAATAATCTCTTCAAGACTGTGCAAGCTCACACTCCCTTCGACGTGGTAGCTTGGCATGGAAATTACTATCCTTACAAGTACGACCTCGGACGCTTCAACACCATCGGCACTATCTCCTTCGATCACCCTGACCCCTCTATCTTCACCGTTCTCTCAGCACCGACCAACACCCCTGGTACAGCAGTAGCCGACTTTGTAATCTTCCCACCACGCTGGCTCGTTGGTGAAGATACGTTCCGACCACCATGGTATCACCGAAACACGATGAGCGAGTTCATGGGTCTGATCCAAGGTGGCTACGATGCCAAGAAGGGCGGCGCAGGTGGTTTTGTCCCCGGTGGTGCAAGTCTTCACAATGTCATGAGCGGCCACGGCCCTGACGCAGAGAGCACAGAGGGTGCCAGGAATGCAGAGCTTAAGCCCGCCAAGGTTGGAACAGGAAGCTGTGCGTTTATGTTTGAGAGTTGTTTGATGGTTGGCGTCACGCAATGGGGATTGAGAACGTGTCAGAAGGTCCAAGAGGGATATAACGAGGAGAGTTGGGGTGGTGTTGTTAATCACTGGAAGATGCCTGAAGGCTTGAAGGTGAAGCCTCATACCCTGTAAGAAACAAAATTGGCGACGATGTTTGAGCGCGAGTAACGATGAGCAAACTGTCATACAATATAAGACATTTTCTATTCTATTTCGTTCGCTCTGGTTTCAGATGCCTGTTCTTAGGACGACATTGGATGGTAAATCCCTATCCTTGAACTCATCATCCATGTTATAAACCGTCTCAAGACCCTCTTGCTTGAAGCCCAACTTCAAATACACCGACCTTCCCATGGTCGATCCCTCAGTAACGCACTCCAAATTCCTTCTCTTGGCCTCATCAAGGCCATACTGCACCATCTTAGACGCAAGCCCCCTTTTCTGGAACTTTGGATCAACAGCACAAAGATCCATTACAAAAACTGCAGGGGGAGATGCCTCAGCTTTCTCGTTGATGATCTCAATTCGCCGTCGAAAGAGTGACTTATCCGCCTGAGTAAGAAATCTCTGCTCCATTTCGTTTCCAGGGTACAACGTCTTGAAATAGCCTGATGCTTCAAGATCACTGGGGGGATTGCCATAGCCTGGAACAACAGAGGCTTGCTCCCATATCGCGAGACCAGCGATAGTGTTGTCGATAGTGGCTTTTACAAAGATGGTGTTAGGTTGACCGTCACGGTTTGTGGTGATGTGCGAAAAGCGATCAACGAGACGTTGAGCACCGATTCTTTCACCGTCGGGAGTATCCCAGCCTGGGTTGAAGGCGATCCAAATGGCATCACGAGTTTGGTGGCCAAATGCGTTAGCGACGGCTTTGAACGCTGCGGTGAAGTCGTCGGGATTGGTGATCGGTTCGACTCGGATTTCTGAGGAGGGCATTTTGGTGATGAGAGTGTGAGTTTTTGGTCTCGTAAACAATGAGAAGAAGTGAGAGAGGGAAGAGGTTTTTGAAAGCCCAGCGGATAAATATGAGAAATTGTTTCACCACGATTGAGGTATTAGTTAGGTCTTGAATGCATGATCCTTGATCCACTCCCAAAGCATAGCCCCGTGGGGTTCTTCTTCCTATGGAGTCGTCAAGAAATGGTGAACAATTCGAAATAAACTAGTGGCTTCATAGAAATTTAGGGTATTTTTATGGTTATTTTGATGATTTCAAGCATTGTGCTCTTATCTTAGTGGTCAGTTTAGAATAAATATCCTAAACTTAGGTGACCCCTGTTCGGCGTGAGTCATTATGTTCTGAAGGTCTTTATATAGAGTCTAGCTATACCGATTGAAAGGGCCTGTTACTTTGGGTCTAGCTGGGCATTTACGTCTGTTTCCGCTGTTATGCATGATTGACCTTATTGATCATCAGAGCTAGTATGAGAATAGTCAATCTTTTACATATCCAGAACTCGTGTCTAGCTTGAAGGAACCGCAACTCCAATCATTTGCAACACGATAACAGCCAACCTTTGTAATATTTGGTCCTCCTAATAATCAGAATCATAACTATTGCCCCAACCTCCTCCACTGTATTGCTCACTGGTAGCCTGCTGGCCCTGATCATCGCTGCTATAGCCATTATTCACTTCTTGATCACTTTCAACCTCTTGGTCGCTGTCGTAATTGACGGATCCTTGTGCAACCTGTTGCTCTTCTTCATCTTCAGAATCGTACTGTTGAAGCGCTTGCTGTTGATGCTGCCCACTGTGGTAGCCCTGCTGCTGATACTGTTGTTGATAGGGCTCTTCCTCAGGCTCCCATTGTTCAGGCGCGTGATTCTGCGGATGGCTACCATAGTAGCCCTGGTGCTGTTGTTGCTGCTGGTCCTGAAAATTTTGTGGCTCATCCTCTTCCGATTCAGTTTGGTCAGCTACTTGATTGTGTTGGTTGTAGTAACCTTGCTGTTGATACTGAGATTGGAGATTAGACTGCGAATATTCCTCGGATTCGGGCTCTTCAGATATGGGCTGCTGGGAATGCTCATTCAAGTACCCTTGTTGTTGATACTGTTGGTAGGTGTAACTCTGTTGCTCAAACCCCACAGACTGAACCGACTCGTCGAGCTCACCCCCGGATTCATTGTTAACAGAGTTTCTCTCGTCGGATTCGGAGTCTTCTCCAGCACTAGCTTGGCCTGGGTCTGTGTCAAGGTCACTACCCGACTCAGCTTGCAAGTCATGAGCACCAAGATCCTCTGCTTCTGAAGCTTCACTGTCTGTAAAGTCGGCAGACATGTATGGGCTATCCAGATCAAGTTCATCAGAGTCCGAGTCTTCATGAATCGATTCTGCGTCTGACTCTCCCCACTCCGAGATCTCATCATCGGATGAAGCTTGACCTACAGAAACCTCGGAGTCCGAAAGCTCATACTCTTCATCTGACAAAAAGCCATCAGAGCCACTGTTGTTGATAGAGTTGGCTTTGTCTTCGGACTCAGAAAACTCTTCAGAATGATCTGAAAACTCCACATGTGCTTCCAATTCCCCATCAGAGTGATCTGCAGATTGCTGGTTCGTACCTACATCCATATGGATATAGCTGTTGTCATCGGTGATGCTTGGATTAGAGTGATCTCCACGAATCTCGGAAGACAGGAAATGGCCACCAGCAGCGCCAGCCAAGACGCCAACGCCTGTAACTGTAGCTATCTTGCCACTGGACATACTGCTAGTACCCGTTTGTTGTGTGTTTGGGTCGTAGCTGTTTGTAAATTCTCTGGTAGACGTAAACGTAGAGGTTTGCATCTGTTCGCCGTATGGTCCACGATAGAAGGGTTCAGGATAATGAGGTACTGGAGATATCGTGGAATTCTGATCAATGTACTGATGGGGTTTCCGGTCAGAACTTCCTTGTACTGGAGTGCTCCTGGGAGACTTGAAACCTTGAGGGCCTGATCCAGTGTATGATGGGATAGGCTTTCTTTGATCGGGAGTTGACTTTTGAGTCTGGGTAGGGGTAGCGGAAGGTCTTGCAGAGGCTACGAAAGATGACTGATTCTGTGCAGATGTACCATTTTGAACTGAAGGCCTTGCTGGTTGACTTGGCACCTTTGAAGTATGGATTTGAGGTTTCTGTAAAGGCAAACTTCCCTGGCCCTGAGGCTTTCCTGACGGAATCTGCGAGGTTCCTGAGGGGCCCTGCACCTTGTGTGCTTGGGGCTCTGCCTTTCCATTTTGTGCCTGAGGCTTGGCTGTCTGGTGTTGTACCGCGCCAGTAGGTGTTTGAGACTTGGGTGGTACTGGTGCTGGCTTGCCAGTTTGAGCCTGAAGCTTTGCCTGAGGTTTGGCAGCTTGAGGTTGTGTTGCTCCAGGAGGAGCTTGAGATGTGGATGGTACGGGAGCTGTCTTTCCACACGGCGGATGAGCCTGAGCCTGTATTTGGGGCTTGGCCATCTGGGGCTGTACTACCCCAGGAGTCGCTTGAGGTTTTCGTGGAGGAATACCGCCTTGAGCTTGAGGCTTTCCTGGTGAAGCTTGTGCTGTCACAGGATGAACTTGATCCTTGGTAGGTGCAGGCTGTGATGTCCTAGTGGAGGACACCGGAGCTCTGCTTGATAGATATGGCATTGGATCACTTGCACCTTGCTTCCCCGGCGTAGGATGCGTCGTACTTGGTGGAGCTTGTGGCCTACTCGTGGGAGCCTGTACACGGGCATACGGCTTGCTCGGCAACGAATGTGTTGTACCAACTTGTGTCTGCGTTGGTACTGGAGCTTGTGGTTGCTGCCACGGAAGAAACGAGGATTGTTGAGTGGGCTTCTCAGCCGCTGCTTGCGTAGCAGGTTTTCCTCCGACAGGTTTGCGTATTACCTGGGGCAGAGGGGGTTTGGCTGCACTTACTGGATTGGCAGGCTTCTGATACGGTGCGTTCATCTGTTGCTGTGAAATATTCGGCTTTTGGGACGCGGCTCCAAATGCTTGATATGGTTGTGCTGGTGCATTTGGGCCAGCTGCAGAGGCAGAGGCAGAGGCAGAACCATTGCTTCCAGGCTGCCCCCAAGAGTCAAGCGAGGGCACGGAATACCTCTTCTCGAACTGGCTCAAAGGCACTTGGGCTGTAGGTGAAGAAGTCTTTTGGGCTTGACCGACGGAAAATGGTTGGAACGTCTGGAAGGACTGGGCTGAAGCCTGACTTTCTCCCGGGCTTGTTTTGGGCGTACCGGGATATGGAACGTACGCTTTCTGAGACTGTACGGCCTGAGTAGGTGCTGGAGACCCTGACGCTAGGGAGTTGTAGATATCCCAACTTCCTCTTTGTACCATGGGGGCCTTCGCCGGAACAGAAGTCGAGGAGGAGGTACCAGGATAAGAAGCTTGTGGGAGCTTTGAGGACTGTTCTTTGGATTTGGCATCTAAAGAAATTCCAGCTTCACTTCCGCTGGGGATCCGGGGAGGTTGGTAACTTGCGAAGGAGGAAACTGGTCTAACTTGCTGCGTCCCTGGCTTTCCTGATGCTACCATAGAGTTGCTGGGTTTTGGGACACTGCTGGGTGTCTTTGAGACGATATTGGCCGGAACCTTGGAGGATCTTCGAGGTTTCGAAGCAGCATCGTTGTTGGATGGCAGAGGGGAATTTTTAACCTTGGAAGGTTTGGCTTTACTCTTTATCTTACTGTTTACGTCTTTCTTCTTTCCATGTTTGGCCATGAACTCTTGTTGACACTCCTTTCACTCAGGATGCCACACCTGATACCTTTTCTGGTAGCGTCTGAAGAGCAACGAAGCGATCGATTGTTCTTCCTCGGACAGGAAGGATACTGCTTTCCCTCTGAAAACGGCATAGAAAGCGACGGTGTGTCCTTCACGACTTAGTCGATCAAGATTCGGATTCTTTTCCAACAGGATTCGGGTGAGTTTCTCGTCGGACGCTTGAACGGCAACCATGATCATGGTGAAGCCATACTTGTCCACGGCATTGATATCGGTACCACTTTCAAGTAAAAGCTTCAAGAGGCTCCCGTGGCGGCCTTGTATAGCATATACTAGAGCCGTCTGACCATCGTTATCCCTTGCATCATCGGCCACTCTGTGCTTCAACAGAAGTTGTGTACAGGCCTTATTCCCAGACAGAACTGCCTCATGGAGAGCTCTTCTGCCGAGATTATCTGCAATATCTGTTCGAGAACGTCTCTCAAGTAATGCCTTGACAGCAGAAGAGTGGTCTCCAACAATCGCAAGATGTAGAGGGGTGCGACCCTGGGCGTTCTGTCGATTGACATCTGAGCCACTATCCAGAAGCAGCTTTATGACACTGGACTTTTCTGCATTCACAGCATGATGCAGGACAGAGTTGCCATATGTGTACAGAGCCCTGAGGTCGGCTTTTCTATCAAGCAAAAGCTTCACTACGGACGAGCTTCCACGAAACACGGCAGAAAACAGTGGCGTATGCGACTGGCCATCTGCAATAGTGATCAAATTCGGGTCGCGCTCCAGCAGGTACTTCATGACACTCTGGTGACCTTGAAGGACCGCAAAGTGAAGAGCTGTATCCCCGCCAACTGCCTGGCCGTTCGTCTTTGCTCCCGACTTCAGAAGTTGCTTTGATGCAGTTGAGTGGCCATGGAGAGCAGCCAGGTGTAGAGGCGTCCTCTCTTGGAGATCCTGAACATCAAGGACATCGTTTCCAGCTTTTCTAATAGCGACTGACAGGAAGTGAGCATGGCCACAGATGGCAAATAGGTGAGTCCAGTGTGTCCCCTGGAGATCTCCGAGACCAAGCTTGACCAAGACATTGAGTGTTTGATCCGATGGCCAACCCATCACCTTCAGAAGCTTCGATGCTTCTTGTTTCCCCAAGCCTGCAGAATTGATATGATACGACCAGCTAGCAGCGTACCCGACAAGTCGGAGTGCTGGGTCTGTACGAGCCATTGACCCCCATTTTGGTTCTTTGGACAGGATTGCAAGATATTGCAGAAGGCAAGTGGCGATGGAATGATGGGCCTGATGGAGACGAGAGGCCGTGGCACCTGCAGCCTGAGCTTTGTAAGAAAGGATACCCAAACCCTTCGAGATAAAGAAATCTGATACGCTGTCATGCATAGGCTTCACAACCTTCTGACCACCAACAGTCACAGTTTCAAGAAGACCCCAGGAAGTGGTTTTAATCCATGATTGGAAGCTCTCATCAGAACCCAATCGCGTCAAGTACTCCGTCTGGGACAATTCCTTGATGGAAACGACTTTGGGGAGAGCATCGAGAGCCAGAGCGACCCGAAGTTCAGGCAGACTAAGTGGCCTTGATGAAAAGCAACACCATTTGAAGAGTGAAGGGAGACCATTGCTGCTTTGGTGTGCCATGTCCTGGAAATAAACGCCTAGCAAGAAAGAGATTGGGGCGGGTGTAGGCGCTGGTTGTTGAACAAGAGATGACTGCCCAGGTCCAAAGAGCTTGATGTGATTCACAATCAAACGAGCCGAGATGAATGAAGATCCGGCCTTCGTGGAGACTACGCGTTGTGTATTGAGGTCGATATTGGAGAGCTGCCCTTCCAAATGTTTTCTCAAACTTGGTCCATTCTTTTCGTCAACTGATATACACAATCTAGGAAAGGGATCTCTCATAGGGTAAGGCGTGCTAGAAAAGATGATTCTTAGTCCATGAGTTGTGGTGGCATCCTTGGTGGGAATCTGAGACTTTTCGACCAACTTGGAAAAGTCTTGCACAAGCTTTGGGGCCGTTTGGCCTTCTGAGTAATTGAGACCATCGACATAGATGAAGACCGAATGAGTCCTGAGGATCTTTGGAAGGACTTTGATCAGTTCGTCAAAGAGTTCTTGCGCGTTCCAAGCTACTTGTTGTTTAGGGGGTAAGCAAGACTGGATCTTGTCAAACCTCTCCTTGATGCCTTTGAAGGCCTCTGGTGCCTGAGGGACTAATTGGCGTAAAAGGGACTTGAATAGGCCCAGGCGTTTTCTAGCCTCGTCTCCGGAAGGAGAGAAAGAATAGATCAGGTGAATTGTGCTTGGTCCCTGGCATGATTCAAGAGCTTGTCTCATCAAAGTTGACTTTCCACTCCCCTCTGAACCTCTCAGCTAAAGCAGCCCGTTAGACGTCGTCCATTTGATGAAGAGAGCTTCTTGAACCAGCCATTGACTTGTACTGAGATCTCCAGAGCCTTGAGTAATCTTGCTGTCTGCGATGGAAGGAAACTCGAGGCTCTCAAGGAATTCTGTGTAATCTGTCTTGGCCTCGAGAGGTTGCGAAGGCTGAGCTGAGAATATAAAATTAGCAAGCTGTATAGATTGACACATGGCATGATTACCTTGCTGAGCAGTGTTGGGAATGCTGGAGAGTCTCTTCTTGTCAAAACTCTTCGTCTTTGGAGCGTCTGATAATTGCTTTGGCGTAAAGCCTCGAGGAACGTCGGCGACAGACTGTTTTGACGGAGTGCTCGCTATCTGAGGGTTGGATACGGAAACATCAGGATCTGAAAAGTAAGGCATATCGTATGACTGGTCGCTAAAGTCAACTCTTGATGAAGAAGACTGTGCGGGCGTTTTCGACGATGAAGGTCCAGAACTGAAAGCTTGGTAGCCATTGAACTGCTCGGTGGGAGATGTGAAGCTCATCTTAAGGGACTGAACGAAGCGAAATATAATGATAAGATAGACTGAAGATCAAGAGACTCAAGGGAACGAGACTTGGCAGTATGAAGGGGTCCTCTATATATATATGTACCAGTTTTCTTTCCCACAGCAGAGGCTTGAGCACTATGCACGCGCGGCACCATCATACAGCCACTCCACAGCATGCAGCAATGAATACAGGAGGCTCTATATCTGAAATATAGCAGTAACTAGCACCCAGTTCTCTCACAGATACCTACCCCTGCTTCGCTGTCCTTCCTATTCGAAGTTGGGGGCCAAGTGTCAACTCCGTATGCAGCAGCCTTATAAACCCTGCATGTGAACCGAAGAGGCAAGGATAGATAGGACAGGTAAGCATGTAGTTAGCTCAACGTTGTCTAGGTATACTTGAGCGTTTGGGACTTCATCCCCCAGCGCCGGTTTACTTCTACGATGTGCTTTGGCCTTTCCCTACTCTCTTTTGAAGCCCTGGCTTGCTTACGGTATGATTCCTATTTTGAACGGATACTACTTAGCTTTGCATATATAGAATAAATTTCCCCCTAAATACTACAGCAACCATCATGTTCCTCTCGGCCGAGTGTCGTCTTGTCAGGGCTCTAGGCTGCATATAAGTCTTATGATAGGTATCCATACTACAAGGATTATCTTCCGCCGCGCTTTCTTATTCGCTAGATCGGCCAATAACTCCATCGTGGTTATCGAACCCTGCCAAAAATCAGCATGAGTTTCCAGTTATGCTTACTTTCTTAGAGTATTGTTTCAGGAAATCCTTGAGAGCCTAGTAGTGTATCAGCACCACGCGGAATCAACCAGACCCGTAAGTCTAACTAATAGCTATAAGGAAGGACATGTTACTCAGTAACTTCAAAATATTTTCTGGTCTCTCAAAGCGTCTTACAAGACTTAATAAAAACTTGGCAAATTCATCGACTCCCACTGATTCAAGCCTCAACTCTCAACACCTCGAATTCAAGTCAGAATAATTGGGGGGCCATTCTCGACCTCATTGAACCTTCCAGGAGCTTTGGTTCCAGACCAAGCTCGCCAAGATTCTTATCCATGTATTGATACTACCTCAACTGCAGAAGCGTGATCCTACGCCCACTTTTTGGGTTGTTTCCGTTCAGCCTTGTGGAATTCTGCTCCAATTGAGGCCCCAGACCGGGACGGAATCTGCAAGAGTAAGCACTGAAAGGCTTGGATCAATTTCAAATAGCCGTAGTGGCGCTCTATATCCGCTTTCTCAAAATGGATTGCAGTGCGGCTGCTCGAATAGGTAGGAGATCATATGAAACGGGCGACCCTTTGCGTAACCATGGGCCTGGTCCAGAGTACTTGAGTCGTGGTGGTTGCTTGCTTTAGGTGGACAAAAAACATACTAGATGAGGCTATGATCTTCTGATTTTGAGGCCCAAAAGTTCCAAAGTCTCAAGATATGCTTGTTCTTGGAGGTGCTATTCGACTTCAACAGTGCTATGTGCCATGGTGCGTCTATGTTGTACTATCTGACCAATAGTCCAGTAGATCTCTGGCGTGGAGATCTGACTGGGAGAAAACCAAGAAGTCCTTTTTCTCTTTTTGCCCGGGCTTCATTGGGCCACGGTCTTTCCCGGCATCCAGAACACAATCATTAGAGACTCCCCATTCCTTATACCTCAGACAGACTCCCTCCTCCCATCCCAAGGAACAAAGGTCCCGTACATGACCGCCCTCTCCTGATCATCTTCATCATCCTGAGACTCTACTTTCCATATAACAACAGCTCGGATGAATCCAAAGAGAGCAAGTCCCCACATCATAACATTGCACCCCATCAACACACCTTTGACACTGCGGCTCTCTTCCTGGAAGCACCGGGCCCAAAGCACGAGACTCGATAGTGTCGTGGCAGCAAGAATGAGAGACTCGAGATAGAGTAGTGCCACAGACGAAAGAAGTTTGACTTCGTGGATCAATAGACTGGCTGAACAGAGGAGAAGGACAACGACGAGGGTAGGGTCCGCGAATTTCCAGAGCCTGAGACTTATTAGATGTGTTCTAAGGGTTAGATCAGCAAGGCTGACTTACCAATTGTCAAAGTCGTTACCAGGTTCATTCTCCTTCCAGACGGTAACCCACATCAAAGCACTGAAAACACCCAGTGTCACCACAAACTGCGACACGAGCACGAGTCCATGTATCACAGAACTGACAACCCATCTCCCCTCGACCCTCGAAATCGAGACGGGAACATGCCCTCCGTCGTAGCTGTGCCTCTTTCCATCCGTCCTGGTTGTAGATCCCCCCCAATTTCTGTTCTCGCAATCGCCATCACCTTCATCTTCCTCCTCACTGACCCACGGAGGAAACGGCGTAAGTGGTGGCGAACCACCTCTCTCAAGAGTAGTAGGAGCTCGAATGGTAAGTGCTGATTCAGCGCGGGAGGGATAGTCGATACTAGCGAGTGATGTTCCTGGTGATGGGCCAGAGGCAGAGATGTTACGGTGGTGTGTTGCCGATGAGGCGCTTCTAGAAAGAAGGTCAGGGGAAACGAGGGATGATCGCATCGATGGTGATGCTTTTGCGGGAGAGGTAAGATTCCGCTGTTGAGGTTGTTGAGCGCTTTCGGGAGAGAGGGCGAGGGTCAGGGCACTGGAACGATTGCTTCTCTTTTTGCGAATAGTGCGATTCGCATCTTGAGGAGGGACCGAAAGTTCCATAGTAGATACTTCTGTGAATAGAGGAAACTAATGCGAAAGGAATGGATTGTTTGGGAAGGGGAAAAGTTGTTGGAACGAAGTTGGAAGTCGACGATATAGGTAGGCAATATTTTATAAAGTTGGCAGTGACGGGCACCGGGCAAGCAGCAACACCACCGAAAGGGCCTTCATACCTAAGCTATTAAGGCCTACCTTACCGATGGACTACCTATAGCCTCAGTGTGACAACCTTTTTTTCCTTGTGTATCCCTTCAACGCGGCCCAGTGTCACGAGCCCTTCTTTGTTCTCATTCGAGTATCGTCATCAGATCGAACTGCCGAGAACTGTCACTGCTTGCAAGCTAGTAAACGGATCAATTTCTTTGTTCATAATCAACCGAGTAACGTTGTTGATATTCGTCATAGTTCTCGCTTCCTTACTCTTGTACATAATGATCAATCAGCCGTACGCCATCCCTCAGAGCCTGATACCCGGTTACCATTCACCCGTGCTTCGAGTCGTCGACCGACATATCCCAACCCGTCAAACGCCGATAACCTCAATGTAGTATCGCCGTCAAAGTGCACCGTTACTCTAGACTCATTCGCGCCTCGTCGCCTATCCCCCATTGTCCACCGGGCCTACCCTGTTTCTGGATCTCAAGGGCCAGCTCAGCACCTAGAGCATCGGCGTCATCATCGTTGTACAAACTACTCGTCCTGCTAGTCCTACTGTCTCTTCTGGTGCGCTCTTTGTTATCCGCTCCGGACCGGTCAGCGATTCGTTTCCGCATCAAGGGCGACCTGAAGAAAGATCTGGAGGATGTCGAGTGTACTGACAAGGAATCGTCTGCTGCTTTCGAGCTCGCGTCATCGTTACTGATCTCTTCACCGTGGTTTTGGTCGGGCACAGCTCGTGTTGGAACCATGGTTTCGTTGCTGGAATTGTATGGCTGAGACCTGAGTTTCGTTACTGAAGGAGATTCTTTTATCTCCTTCTCAGTCTCCTGGCCATCTTCTGGCTGGTCCACCTCGACCAACTCGGCATCGCGATACCACTTTCTTCGTCGAGTCCAGCGACCCCATCCATCTTGACCCCGCTGGCCATTTTGCCACTAATAGTCTGTTAGAGGACACAATACGTTGCCATATATGACGGCTTCTCACCTTGTTGTCATAGAAGATCCAGCCATTCTTCCCCTCATCCCCGTCATAGTCTACAGGGCCATGCTCATCAGACACGCCATCAACACGCCAACGGGTTCCGGGAACCCATCGCCACTGCATACGACTTCCATCTTCTACCTCGGGTAGTTCAAAATCGTCTTTGGCGGGAACTGAGTTGTTATGGTCATCTGTCCAGGCCGCTCGTTCATATGCAAAGAGATTATTCGTCCATCCCAATCCAATCCATCGTCTTTGGTTCTCATATATGATAAACGTGAACTTGACACCCGCAGTCTTCGCATTGCCATTCCTTCTTCCATGATTAGTTTGGAAGCTCGACGACTTGCCAAGAGCTTTTGTCAGTTCGGATTCCTGCTGTTGAGCAACACGATCCGAGCCTTTCTTAGCAGCCTTGGCTAACTCCTTTTTAAACGGCTGTTCGGGAGTATGAAACTGCAACCCGGTGATGGCGGATGCAAGTCGTCTAACTGTGGAGCTTCTCCAGAGAATGGCCCGCGAAACTCGCAGAACCCTTGCGTGCCAAGTCAAGATGATGGTTCCAGCCACTAGTATTACACGCCTTGTCGTGACAACTCTCCAGGGCGGAACAGTAAGCGCAATCCAAACAGGCGTGATGATAAGCAGTCGCATGAAGATGACAGTCAGCGCTGGGCGCGTGGTCGCACTAGTCGGGGTCGTCTGAGTGCTTAGGAAATCCGTCATGTCGAGCAGAGGTTCCATCAGAACATTGCACCTCCCAGTAAGTTGTTTAAGAGTCTCGACGATCTCGTCGAGTGTCTTTTGATGTTTGGTGTTGGTAACTTCGGAATTCCCCCTAACATGTTTCGACTGTTTCTCGCCGGCGTTTGCCTTTCCATTCTGCTGGCTGCTCTCGCCGGCGTTCTGGTTTGTTCCCTTGGTGCCAGCATTCTGACCTCGAATATCATTCCACCCACTACTACTGAGGGGACTGTATCTCCGGCCGTACATGCCAACGATGAGTGCCACGCCGACCAAGACGGGGCCGGCCCACGTTATTACTACATCGCCATACAGAACAACCGCCCAGAAGAAGCACAACAGTAAGAAACTCTGCCAAGGATCTCCGGTGCTCCAGGTGAGGAGGCCTGTAAA